AGCCTTTATACCCGCAGGCTAGTAAATGAAGACAGTTACTTGAAGTTCAAGTAACAGATACCATTTAGATAAATTGATTGCTTCCTCCGTAATGGATATTATTAAAATGTAATTGAACTATATTGTATTTATTTGTATTCTGCCTTTCTTTAACCAGGGGGATCAGACCATAGTCCACCACGCTGGCCAAGTGCGGGTTGGTGGAGTTCGCATATCCTTCCAAAACTAGCTAGGTTCTCTCAAATATTCAGGTTTCTTCACGATGTTTTTTTTCACCGTAAAACAAATTGTAATCATGTTGAAATGAGAGGGAATCGAACATGCTTGATTTGGTTGTCCAAGCAAGCGCGTTACCACTCAGCTACCATTGGCTTTTTAAATAGAATATATCTTTCTTTATGGACAGTATTCTTTGTTGTTACATAAGCCTGTTGAAGCATCTGACGCCCAAACTAAAAAAAAACCTGTATATCAGGAGTCAGCGCCCTTTTCTATCTTTAATCATAATTAGAGGTCAAAAATATTACAGAGCCAGTAATAATTTTAGAATTTGTTTGTGAAAGAAGAAAATAAAAAAAAATGTAATTAAACGATATTACAAATATGCCTAGCGACTCGCCCTTGCTTCGCTTAGAACAAAATATACACGTGCAATCTATACTCGCAAAAATGTGTTAAAGACTGACAGAAATCTATCAGTTATAATAATAGCTTTTTTTGAGGTCGGGAATAAGTTGCGCTATACACGGTTTGAAATAAAAGGCAAAAAAACGCCAAACCTTAAGTTTTATTATTTATATATGTATGTAAAACCAGTCTATTTCTATACCTCGAACGTTTTTTTTAATTTATAACTTTATGATAAATCTTCACAGCTGCTATTTTAATTTATACAATGAATATCACATGTAATGTGATAATGCGGGTGAACGCCCTTGTTAATGTAACGTAACATAAGGTACACGGAATTATTATATATATATATATATATATATATATATATACTAGTATTGCCCGCGGCTCCGCCCGCGTTCAGATGACCAAAAACCAAATTCTTAGATTTTCCATATTTGTATACTCTTACATTGCAGTTTTTGTATTTTTTCTCAGAAATGAGATATTTTCACGCGGTAATAAGTATCCTGTATGTTGACCCGAATAACCAGCTATCACCATACCAAATTTCATCAAGATCCCTCCAGTGGTTTTTTGTGATGCGGTAACAGACAGACAAAAATTTTAAAAACTATAGATTCGGTCTCTGTATCGATATTGATGTTTATTTCAATAAGATTTTCCAAAAAATATTTAATGTACAGATTCGGCTTAGTTACAATTTTATTACATGTAGGTATAGATAAAGCTTAATTGTCTGTCTATAATTTCTCAAATCTATACAAAAAATACTGTCTGTTGAAATAACACCTTTTTACTATGTAGGTGACTTATACTATAATTTATTTAATTTCTCATATTTATATATTAAACTGTTCATTCCAGAATATTTATATTTTATTAAATATTTAATTTACGTATTTATATTATCTACTCACCTACATACACACATACAACACGTTTATATAATTATTTATATTTATTAAATAATATTTATTCATAATATATTAAATCGACAAGCATAGCCGCGCGGAACCGGTAGTATGTAGTGGATCGGAATTTGTTTTGCTTCTACCGACCACTAATAACATTTTTCTTAACAAACAGTCGATGCTTTGCCGTTCGATGCTAATTACTTGTTTTATATAATTTAATCGTTTTCGTGAGATATTGTATGTGGACTTTATATGTTTGTACTGTAACTCTTTGTGTCATAGTGTATTTCCCTAAACGTTCCTTCTGTACTGTTTTTACGTGTGAGTTGACTTTATTATTACAATTCCATCAGTGACGTAACATATTCTTTTATTTGTTATTCATCGTCACGCAACAACCACCAAAACTAAATGAGTTTTAATGTAACGGTACTAAAAAGAAAAAACTTTTGTCTGTCTGTCTGTTTGTTCTGGCTAATCTCCGAAACGGCTGGACAGATTTTGACGGGACTTTCAGTGGCAGATAGCTGATATTGTAAGGAGTAACTTAGGCTACTTAGGTAGAAAACATCCTGTAACATACATAAAACAAGAAAATTATGCACCCAAATGAAATACCTTTTCTTTTTTTGAAGTCAAATAAAAAAACATGATTTAAAAGCCTTTTGAAAGCTGCTTTAAAAAGAATTCCAATAAAGCTAATAGAAAAGGTCCTTTCAAAGGTATCTTTGCTTATTAGGTAGTAGATAATAGTGAATAGGATCCTATACATAGCATGTGTGAACAGAACAAACAGTTTGAAAGCTATATACATACATACATATATATATAGTTTTACAGAGCTTTTTAACTTAATCTCGTTGAATTTTAAATGATAGACTGACTAGCGACTTTTACGTTTTAAAGTTTAGTATAGATTTCCCAGAGATGAGACATTTTCTCACATTAAAAAGCGTCCTATATGTTGACCCGGGTAATCAGCTATCATCATACCAAATTTTATCAAAATGTGTCCAGTGGTTTTCTCGTGATGCGTTTCCTATAGAGTTATACAGACAGACAGATGAATATTCTTAAAGCTATAGATTCGGACTCTGTATCGATAATAATGACTATTTGAATATTAAGACTTTACAAAAAAATATTTAATGTAAACTGTCCAATCTTTAACAGTAATATCACTTTATTATTGTGTGAAAGATAAACAAACTAACAAACCCATTTTCGTATTTGTATCTGTAAAGATACTACATTGCCAGACAACTATTTGGCACGGTCAGATTTCCGTAATATATATTATTTTATTGACCATCTCTTCACAGTTGTGACCTTCGATTTAATACACAAAATTAATATTTTTCCATTAAAATATTCCTACGAACTTTGATCCTACAGCTGTCCTCTTTTGGTGCAGATAGCTTAATAAGCTAGAAATCGTGATTTTCATGAATTATTATAAAACTACTAGTTTGCCCGCGGCTTTGTCCGGGTAATGTATTTAAATTAGTTGTGTTTAATTAAATTGTAATTACATTACCCGGACGCCTCATGGTCTATACATTTAACGTCTATACATATAATAAAACATTAACTTAGCGTTTCACGCAAAAGTACTGAACCGATTTTAACTAAATTGTCAAAATTTAGGATACCTTTTACTACAGGAAAATCTATCATTCCCACATGAAAACACAGTATCTGTTTCTATCGAGTCGTTCTTAGAAATTTCGTTTGACATGTAAATGTCTAACGCTGGCTAAACCTTAAAAGATAAATCAAAACAATTTTGTAGAAAATTGTAGGTCTTAATAAGATGTACAGAAAAATCTGCATTAGCATATTTCTTTCGCCTAAGGTACACTCGCAATAACTATTCATATCTATTTAAAACGTACCTAGGGATGCATTCGAGCGAAGCCAGGGTCAGTCACTAGTTCTTAATAAACAGGCATAGAAACAAGGTATTTGTAAATAGAGTTAACCCATACAACAAAATGTCAGATCGTGGATGAATCTTAGTTATTTTTCTTTTTATGTGATAGGTTCAAAAGGGTTATATAGGTCTCTTCCTCTAATTTATGCTTGCGTTTAATGGCGATATTGCACAATATTTTTGGTATTAACTGTAGCCAAGTTAAAGAATTGTTCAATATCTTAATAATTTAAATTAAATTTATTAACATTTTAACATTAATTAATCTATTTGTCTCGTCCAGGAATCAAACTTGCGACCACTATGTAGAGTATATATATAATATAAAAATCAATTGCTGTTCGTGAGTCTCGCTCAAACTCAAAAACGGCTTGACTGATTAGAATAATTCTTCTTTTGTTTTGTTATGGGTTTGTCATGGGTAGTTTAAATATACAAAAAATAAGGAAAACCCACAAAAATAGCTGGATAATCGACAAGTTCAGAACTGTTTATTTTTTACCTATGTATATACATATATAGTATATAGTATATCTATCCCATACTAACCGTATCCAGGGATGAACCCGAGCGAAACGAGGGTGAGTCGCTAATTTTTTTTTATAAATATAGAAAACACCTTAACTACCTTATAGGGCTATTAAGCCAGCTCTATTCATCAACGTCAGTGGTCGTATCAAATTATAGCGGTTTGTACACCACATTAGAAACACGAGCCTTTTTGTAGGCAATTAATATTGTTGGTATAAATAACCTACATTATGACTTCTTCATCAAACAAAATCTAATTTAGTACATAATAAAATATTTTGACTAAACTACTTTAAACATTTAATTTAATTTAACTAAAGTTTGAAAGTGACCTTACGATATAAGACGGACGGACAAACCTGCACTACACTATTGTTATATATAGACTATGGTAAATTTTGTGAGTTCATGAGTTTCTTACTTCTTTATGTATTAGCCACTCAACGGAATTGGGAAACAATAAAAATGGGCATAGTTTATATTCTGAATATTTACATAGATTTCTTTGTGTCAAAGTAGAATGCGTAGAGTTGCGGATAAATACTAATAAACTTCTACTACACTTACTAAAATATCTATAAATACCAATTTTATGTACATTTAGGCTATTTACTAAGACAATTTCTTTTGAGACCACGTTATTACATAAAAATATAGGATTTCTATAGATACCCAGACATACAGTCATCAATATGACATTATAAAGTATTAATGTATACTAATATTATAAAGAGGAAAGATATTTTTGTTTGTACTGAATAGGCTCCGAAATTACTGAACCGATTTAGATTAAATCTGGTAAGAAGATAGTTTGAGACCCTGGGAAGGGCATAGGATAGTTTTTATCCCGGAAGTCATCCCTTAAGGGGGTGCAAATGGTAATAAAATTTGTATAGTTGTAGTTTTATAAAATAAGATATTTATCTACTGTTAATTTTCAATGTTTTTATATTTGCTTTATCTATGATTATTTTCATTTGTTACAGTCTTACCCATACTTCCTAATATTTATGATAATCGAGCACATCGTGCTGAGGATGGAAGGCAAGAAAGGTATTCGTCTCAACGACGGTATAACAAGTATATCACATGGAATTATACAAGAATGTGGAAGGTAAATAATATATTCAGCAATTTTTACTACAAAATTTAAGATATTTTAAGATGGGTACTTGATTTTTAAAATAATAATAGTTTAAATAAAACTATCTTTTCAGTTTTTTTCGCGGTTTATAATAATAACAGCTAAAATGAAATGAATAATATTCCATATTCAATTATAAAACTAATTAAAATTATAAAACTGTTTACAGTTAAAATATTGTAAGGTACTTTGGGGCCATTTTTCAATTTTTGGAATTCATTTTGTTATATTGTGGGTAGGCTGTCTGTAACAACTATATAATACCTTAGAGACATCTAACACCTCAGTCTCTCCCGTGACCATGATTGCTGTAAAGCATTCGAAACGTCGGGAATCAAAAATCGAAAACCCGCGAAAAAATCCGAAAACATAGTTTCAAATATTCGCGTAAATCTAAGAAAGAATAATAAAAGTTATTTTGCTTTTGCAAATGATAACTTTTCGTAAATATGAAGATATTATAGTGTAATTTTAGTTGTAATTACACAGTGTAATTTTTTGGTAAAACCATAGGCTTTAATATATAGTATCTTTATATATGATGGCTCAAACATGGACCGTTTGTATTTATTATATTGCAGAATCATTTTAAAATAATACATACTCATTATTAATAGTATCTATTAAAAAATAACTTTTATGAATTATTATTTAATGTTGTAGGAAATAACCAAAATCTTGTAAAGTGTTAATGATTTGTCTGTGTCTGAACTTCTATTTGAAATAGAAGGATCAAGTCTGAAACATGGCATTTTTCCCTTGACACCCATAGCTCTTAAAAACTTCTGTCTCTTTAATCTCATTTTTATACATATTTAAATTAACAAATTACCTAAATTCTTTAATTGCGATCTTAAAAATTAGATGCAAGTTAAAATATTGTTAAAAACAAACTTTAAAAAAAATAACAACCGACTAAAAAACCACTAAAAAGTAAAATATAACTGATTGGTAGTTTTCATTTACTATAGACCTAATATTTTCATATTGTCATAGCCGATACAAATCAAAGCACCCGGACTCACTAATGTAAAAAACACGACAATATAGGCGCGGATAAGTAGATACATCTATACATATAATAAAATTGTAACCAAGCCGAATCTGTACATTCAATATTTTTTGGAAAATCTTATTAAAATAAACATAATTATCGATACAGAGGCCGAATCTATAGTTTTTAGAATTTTTGTCTGTCTGTCTGTCTGTTACCGCATCACAGAAAAACCACTGGAGGGATTTTGATGAAATTTGGTATGGTGATAGCTGGTTATCCGGGTCAACATATAGGATTATTTTTACCGCGGCAAAATATCTCATTTTTGAGAAAAAATACAAAAACTTCTATGTAAGAGTATACTTATATATAAAACCTACGAATTTAGTTTTTGGTCATCTGAACGCGGGCGGAGCCGCGGGCAATGTTAGTTATATACGAGTATAAATTACACTCAGACCGGTCCTAAATTACAAATCGCTTACTGTAATATATTACTAGTGCATAATGCCTATACAGTGTCATTATACTGATGAGAAATATAATTAATTTGCACATAAACTCATAAAAGTCATTAGTTTCTTTAATATCCATTATCGCTTGTATATTGATGTAATTTGATATTATATTTATACTAGCATTGCCCGCGGCTCCGCACGCGTTCAGATGACCAAATACCAAATTCTTAGGTTCTACATATTAGTGCTTACATTGCAGTTTTTGTATTTTTTCTCAGAAATGAGATATTTTCTCGCGGAAAAAAGTATCCTATACCCTAAGTATCCTAGACCCGGATAACCAGCTATCATCATACCAAATTTCATCGAAATCCCTCCAGTGGTTTTTCCGTGATGCGGTAACAGACAGACAGACAGACAAAATTTTTAAAAACTATAGATTCGGCCTCTGTATCGATAATAATGTCTATTTCAATAAGATTTTCCAAAAAATATTAAATGTACAGATTCGGCTTAGTTACAATTTTATTATATGTATAGATTTCATACTAGTTGTTACATTAATATTTATGCCTCGTGTAAAAATTTCATCGACAATATAATTATATTAGAATACTAGCGATTCAACCTCGCTTCGTTCGGGTTCGTTCTTGAGTACGTTTTAACGGTTATTATGAAATAGATAGACTATATATTATTTTATGATATATAGCTTATAGCCTTCCTCAATAAACAGGCTATCTAATGCAAAAAGAATAGTTCCTGAGAATAACGCGTTCAACAAACAAACAAACAAACAAACAAACAAACAAACAAACAAACAAACAAAAACACATTTTAAATGTTATTTATTATATTGAATGTTGAATGAATGAATTATCGGAAAATTTAAACTATAAAATATAAAAAAGCTTTGAATATTAGAAGTACATTTTTTAAATCCTTTCAAGATTTTACATTCAAATCGCTTTTTTTCTGTTTAATTCCTTGAAACCCTTGAAAGTTCTTTACATTCATATTTTAAAGAAAATATCAACAAACATTCTAAGATTCAGAAATATTAAAATCATTTGAAACCACCCAATGTGTTTCGTCCATATAATTCGTAGGAAGTAGGAGAAAAACATGACAATACTTGTCTTACTGTGTTAATTTAAATTAAGCTTATTAATTTAATTAAAATGTAGTATAATGGAAACAATTTGCCCACAGGCTAGTATGGCGAGGAGCAGAGTCATATCTTTATACGTGGATATACTCAAACTACAGATTAATAGATTTGCCATGGGATAACACGTTAACATGGTACGCAGCTGCATTGGGAGTCGATTTCTGCTATTATTGGATGCACAGAGCATGCCATGGTAAGAAGGAATGATGTAATACTAGTGATCGCACAGTGGTCGAAAGACTATGTCTTTCAAAATCATTGTTCAAAATTTGAGGAAACATCACATAGAATATCTATATAAATATGTTACTGTATCCAATTTTTTTATTGATGACATTTAAAGCGTCAATGGGTAAACAAAAAAAATGAAAATTCATTTTACAAACAGAAGAGAAAAAGTACACAGCTGTTTTGTCTTTGCCTATTTATATATAGATTATTTTATGCTTAAAAAAGTTTAAAGTTATTTGGCTAACAGTTGAATTATTTTACGGAAAGTGCAAGATCAACTCTTAATTGTTTATAAACTTGTATTTTTTAATTAAATTTCAAGGGTATTTTATCAAAAATAATTAAGATCATTTGTTACGAATTTTCTTGCAAGGTTTAAATTAGATATTGATGATGACAAACATTAGCACAGTGTTGTTTCATACATTGCATAAAAGTTATTTATAATATAAGACAAATTAAAATTTAAACTCGTTTGGGTAAATTATTTTAACTTTTCTTCTTTTTCTTTCTTATATTTTCTTCTTTTTTTGTAAAAAAATAGTCATTATTTAATTAATGTAATATAATAATTTTATATGTTCTTTGAAAAATTAGCTGTGTCTGTCTTTCAACGCAGTTACATATTATGTTTTTATGTCTTAACTTCATAACTCGTAACCTATTATATATTTTATAAGATGTGATACATTTTACGGTTTTTGCAGAGGTCCACATCTTATGGGCTCAGCATCAAGTTCATCACACGTCCGAAGATTTCAATATGGGCGTTGGTATCAGACAGTCCATCTTACAAGGGTGGTGTGGCTTTGTAAGTTATCTTTTGTACAGTTCTCTTACTAGCTGTGCTTATGTCCACCGGCTTAGTTTATTCATTTATTAAATTTAACTAGAATAAAACGCATTTTTATGGAAATACAGCAGTAAAATATGTTTTTACTGCTGCATTTCCATAAAAATGTTTTTTTTTCCATACAGTATAAGAAATCGTATTCATCATTAAGCATTTGTTAGCTCACTTCATCCATCTATATACTATTCCTTCTACCTGCTGAGTTCTAGCTTCATAGGTGAAGTAGTTTCTGAGATTTGAGAAATGACCTGTTCAAGGCTGACATACATACATCTGTATACAGATCAAATGGGTGATTTAAATTGTATATAATTTTAATTTAATTGTATATATTCTTATATGAAATTGGAATGTACTCAGCTATTGTAAAAATCATTTCTTTTAAACGTTATGAAGAATAATAACAGAAATTCAGAAATTCTTATAATATTTATATCGGCTTATACTCCAATAAATACCCGAAGTAAATAAAGCGTATTTCTCCATAGTATATAATATGATTTTATTATATTGTTATTTTATTATACATTATTTACATCATTCTCCGTACTTTTTATTTTTATTTTAACGCTAGTACAATAGAAATATAATTGTAAACTAGAATCCATCTTCTAAAAACACCTGATTTATTATTAAGATATTGAAAGTGAAAAAAATGAAACGAAATAATTAAAACGCTAAAAATAATCTCTCCAGCTTTTATGTAGGAGTTAAAATTAAATTAAAGTAATAACGAGGGAATATATACCATAACGTACATACATACATATAACAAACATAAACAAACAATACATATAAGATACGTACGGATCAAACACATAACCCTTCTTTAAGCTTCATCGCAGTTGAGCAAAAATTAAGTACCCATCAACTTTCAAATTTTGCACCGGAAGCCGAGTTAAGCCTGCATCTGGAATTTTAGATAGGAAAAATTTCTACTGAAAATTACTACATACCGTATATGCTCGTAGCTTTCAATAAAATTCTATAAAGGGAGCGTTTCATCGAATCACTTCTGGCTTTCTCTCAGATACGACGAGATGAGTTTTATGAGCACGAAACGGTACGATAGTAAACTATTATTGCCAAAATGTATACTCTCTATGTAAACACCTAATTTATTTTGACGATTGTTGTTTTTGTTTTTCTGTTATTTTTCATTACATTGCTCTTACGATTGCCCCATTTCTGTTATAATATATAAAATTTTATCTGTAGTAAATCTTATTTTTATTATCTTGCCTAAGTCATTAAATTTGTATCAGCTAAATCATTCAATAGTACTCGCGAAAGTATGTTTGAATAAAGATATTTTGATTTGTTAGCGTTCAGTTTTTATTACTATGCAGGTAAATTTTATAAAATAATATAACAAAAGTTCTTTATAAATAACTAACGACTCACTCTCGCTTCGCTGGGGTTCGTCCCTAAGTTGATTCCCCATACAAAGTTTCATCCCCATTTCCACCCCTTTAAGAGCGATTTTCGATTATAAAAAATATCCTATATCTTTTACAGGGTCTAAAACTATCTTCTCACCAAATTTCATCTAAATCGGTCCAGTAGTTTTTGAGTTTACACGTTAAAAACATACAAAAATACAAATCTTTCCTCTTTATATATATATATATATGTATTATAATATATAAATATTAAATATACAATATAGTATAGAAGTGTAGATTGTGTCTAATAACTTATTTATATACGTATTTTTATTATCTTGTATTATATAAGCAATTCTTCTATATTGTATATACATATATTTCATTCCGTATATCTCGAAAAACACTCTAACGATTTGGATCATATTTTATAATTAGATATGGTTAATATGCTTTTTAAATTTATTTATAGTTAAAAAACGTATTTATTGTATCTTTCTTATAAGATAAGATAATATCTTTGATATGAAACTTCAAGCTATATTTTTTTCTTTACACAGATCTTCTACCTGCCTCTAGCAATGGCTATACCTCCAGCGCAGTTCGTGATGCATCACCAGTTCAGTTACTTATACATGTTTTGGATTCACACAGAAGCTATCAAAAGCTTGGGACCTTTGGAGTACATTCTGAACACGCCAAGCCATCATAGAGTGCATCATGGTGAGTTTATATAAATATTTAATATGCTTTATGTATTGTATTATCTATATGTAAAAATCTATATGTTTGGGTACATTAACACACAGCACCATCTTCAACAAAGTTCCATGGTAAGCAACGAGGCTTGTGTTATGAATACCAGATAGTTGATACACCACACATATATAACTTTAAATAGATATATATTATAAATATAAACACCCATGACTAGAGTACAAACATTCGTGCTCATCACAAAAATGAATGCCCCCAGCGGTACTCGAACCCGCGACCGCTGGCACAGCAAGTTGGGTCACTACAAACTCAGCCGAACGTGTCGTCTAAAGTGCTCAATTCAGGCTACTTGGGTATATAGTTTTAGTGTATGTTACGCAATATCTAGAGATTTAGACGATTGTTAGCAATTTTCCCAAAGGGTTTGAAAGTAATTTTTTATTCAACTTACATTTGTAGGTAATTTATTATATTATGTACTATTCTTATACCCGAGAGAGAATTGAATAAACATTAATACATCAACTCAATTAAACTTTCTTCTTTTTCATACCCAGCAGTGAGATGTGAAAAGGAATAAATTATCTATAGATGTAATAAAATTGTAATAGATCGGTGTCTGTACATGGAAGATATTTGAGAAAAACTATTATTAGGGGTCTTTATAACGCAATAGAACCCAAAACAATGACTTTTAGATTTTTTATCTGTTTGTGCATTTGTGCGCGCTTATCTCAGAAACAGCTAAACCGACTCGAGTGCGGTTTTGACTAAAGTACTTTTGTAAGCTTCATTTAATATTTAGTGTTTATTTTATATCAATCGATTCATAAATAAAAAAGTTGTATCAATTTAAAGAATTTTGTCCATTATCGAACAAAGCATTTCTAACAACACATAGTGTAGTAACGAAAAATATATATTTATAAATAAAAAGTTTAACGTTTTTTTTTCATTTTTAGTGTAGGCGTAATAAGCAGGTAATTTGTAAGAAGAAAGTTATAAAACTTAAGTTAAAGCAATTTATTAAAAAATAATAGTTAATTGTTGATTTTTTTAAAACCGCTCGAACGATTTCGATAAATTTAAATGGGACCACCTGGGAAGTATACCATTCGAATAAAAAATCCAAATCGATTCAGGCATCTTCGATTAATCGGTGAACATACATAAAAAAAAAAGATTCCGACGAATTGAGAGAACCTCCTCCTCCTTTTTGGAAGTCGGTTAAAAATATTATAATGATTGTTATTTATGTGACCAACGATTGTTGTGCTAGAATTTTAGAAATGAAATATACTTTGAAAATTAACTTGTTATTTTTAATAATTTTAGGTATCATTTTTAATTATACTTAGCAAATAGGTATTTGCGAACTTCGTTGATACAGTATGAATTATTTATGTAGCAAATGAAACTTTTAAAATAGTGCTTTAAATTAGCTTCCAGAATTCTTTATTTCTTAAACATCTCGTTTGAGCTTTATTTTTGAAACATTATTACTTATTGAAATTTTAATGCCCGATTTCACCAACATCCCATAAGCTACCACCTACGTATAGGATCCCTAGCTTAAAAGTTCCCCCTAAACTAGCCGCTAAATAAGTATCGTTTTACCGCCCGTATTTCTAGTACCTATATTTAGGTGGAATTTTAACATTTAGGTGACCCCTAACTGTGGGTGAAACAGAAACTGTCCCCTAACAGCCCCCTAACCATGCTTAGGGGATCCCTTAAACTTAGGTGACGTTGGTGAAATCAGCCATAAGTTTCATTTAAGTTATTAAAAGTAAAACATTTTAATACTTAATCACAAAACCCAATAAATTATTGTAAAAAACTATTACTATTACTATATTATAGATTATGTAAATTTCTAAGAAAATCTTATCATTGAAATAAAAACATAATATAGAAGTACCTAAGATATTAAGACACATATAGAAATGATATGTACGTTTTAACGGTTAGTATAGATTTCTCAGAAATGAGATATTTTTCTCGCAATAAAAAGTATCCTATATGTTGACTCAGATAACCAGCTATCATCATACCAAATTTCATCAAAATTTGTCCAGTGATTATCTCGTGATGCGTTCCCAGACAGACAGACAGCCAAAATTCTAAAAACTATAGATTCAGCCAGCATCGATAATAATGACTATTTCAATAATATTTTCCAAAAGATATTTAATGTACAGATTCAACTCAGAATTTTCTATATATGTATAGACGAAAGCTTTGCAAAATACATGTTTCAAAATGCAAACACAGTAAAGGAAAACCGGTAATGAATAACTAAAGCAAACCACAGGAAACTTACACGAGCGGAGTTTCATTGCAGTTCAAAGGCGAATATATAGTCAGTCGTATTTTGATATTGCAAAGTTTATTTAGTATTCGATAGTGAGGTTGTACACAAGGATTCGTGTTGAAAATCTTTTTCATTTTTGAAGTCGATCAAAAAATAAGTGAGAATGTGACGTAAGCGAATGTTAACTAGTAAATGATAATATATAGATATTTAATAATTAGTTAAATATAACTGTTCAAATATTGCAGTCAGCGATATACAGTTAAAGTTTGACCAAATTTTACGGTTATGTTTGAAGCAGATGGTAAATATTTAGAGCTACATGATCAATAGTTACAGCACCGAAAGCACATCATTAATAATTCATATAACTATATAATCTATACATATAATAAAATTCTAATTGAGTCGAATCACGTACATTAAATATTTTTTTGGAAAATCTTATTGAAATAGTCATTACTATCGATACAGAGGCCGAAACTGTAGTTTTTAGAATTTTTGTCTGTCTGCCTGTATGTCTGGGAACGCATTACGATAAAACCACTGGACAGATTGGTGAAATTTGGTATGATGATAGCTGGTTACCTGGGTCAACGTGTAGGATATTTTTTACTGCAAATATCTCATCTCTGAGAAATCTATACTAACCGTTCAGACTTACCAAGGGACAAACCCGAGCGGAGCGAGGGTGAGTCGCTAGGTGTATTCATATTTTTGTTATTCGTAAATATCTTACGAGCTTCATTTAATGGAAAATAATAACTTGCATTCTAAAATAACCCTATGTCACTGTCAGACCTATGAAATATCTACCTTTGTGCCGTTTCTTTTGCTGACAGATGGACAAATTAACAAAACATTCATAGAAAAGATATTCATAAATTAAAACTAGATTGGCCTTTGATAGATAAATATAAAGTAAATAAAAAGATGATATAATATAATACATAATAAGTACATATGAAATACATAACGATTTCTTATGTATTAATATTTCCGTTTTTATTTATTCAATAGCAATAAACTTTCGTGATAAAATTTATTTATGACGAGTTTAAATGACATTATTTTTAAATACCATTATTTACAATTAAAATGATTTTGACCAGAATATAAGTTTGAATGTAATGTTAAGATAATAACTATGTATAATGGAAATATCCATCTGTATTTTCTTAGGGTTTTACAAACATTACCCATGAACTAGTTTTCAACGATTTATTTTGCAAATAGAGAGCACTTTATCTCGATAAAAACTGAAGGCGAATATAAAAATAATGTGTTTCACATTAATAAAATCAATCTAAAATATAAAAATCTTTGCAAAACTAGCTTTTGCCCGCGGTCTGGCTGCTAAAATAAGTTTTTTTTTACTGTCTGTATGAGATATTTGAATATCCAAATATTTGTAAGATTTATATTTATAAAATTTAAAGGTATTATATCGAACTTCTTACATACATGATATTACTACTGCAAATTGTTTGTGCCAAAAACCTCATAAAACTTCTAACTCTTCATGTGTCTAAAACTGGAAAACCGTGTTTAAGCATTGAAAGTCTTACTAAAATCGATCCAGCTATTTTAGAGATAGGAGAAACAGATAAAGAAACATGCTAGCATTGATTTCGTGCAAATAATATCATAAATGCAATTTTTTTAAAGTATTTTTTTTTACAAAATTATATATTTTTATTACAGGTAGCAACAAGTACTGCCTTGATGTCAACTACGGCGGAGTTCTTATCATATGGGATAGACTGTTCGGCACTTTCCGCCCAGAGACTGACAAAATTGAAATTGTATACGGTCTTATATACAACCAGCCTTCATTCAATCCCATGTATTTGCAAGTAAGTTTACGAATTCTAATATCTATTTCGAGACATACATATTTGTATGTATGTACATATTCAGTTCAGTGTGTCTGTTTAGAGTAATTGAGAACATAACTCGTTTTTTACCGCGGTTTTACTTGTATTTCTAAGCATAATGTGGTTTTTGAGTCTGATTTTTCAAGTATGAATTAAATAAATAAGAATTTAATATAAAAATAATATTTAATTTAATATTATTTAATATTTAATATTTAAATGACTTGTACGGTAATAATTCTTAAGTACATTTGGTAATATATTTTCACATTAGGTGAAAGTTTATTCATAATATATTAAAAATTATAGTTTTATCTATAGTTTAATTTACTTTTTTTATTGTAAAGTTATTTTACGATATTTATTTACAATAAAGTAAACATTAAAATTACAAATATACTTAATTATATAAACAAAAGAAATGTACGCTTAATTTTTACCATACAAGCCATGTCTGCGCGAAATTGTGGCAAAAATTATGCAGTTATGTTACACCGCATTTCCCCGCTAAATGACAATGCCGATTCTTTGGGCGAAAAACGAAGCTTTCTTAAAGGTTTAATCTATAGTCTGTAATTAGACCAACGTACATACAAAATGACCCGGAGTTTTTTTTTTTATTTTATGACTTGTCATTTCCAGGTATTTTATACAGCCTACGTCATAGAAAAGTTCCGACGCCTTGAAACTGTGGGTGATAAAATAAAGGCGATCGTGTGGGGTCCCAGTTGGGAACCCGGAACTCCAAGACTTGGGGAAGAGGACATGAAATTAGATGTAAGTTAAAACCTTAAAACCATTGAATACACTGAGTTCAGATAAATTCGTCTTTAACCGACTTTAAAATAAGAAAATTCTCGAAATTTGAGTATTTTTTCATATTATGTAGGTTTGTTACGCGGTATCATCGATTGTTTTGAGCTGATTTAAATGATTCTTTCTTTATCAATTTAAGTTGAAAATATAATGTAGTAAGAACTAAAACGGAGTTAGAGCAAAAAAATTGTATTTTACAGTATCTAATGTATCGCATTTAGGTATATCATGGGTTTGATTCCCATGTAAGCTAGAAATAAGAAAAATCTAATCAATTATTATTTGATTTCAGGTGGAAAGTCGTGAAAAATACGACGTATTCCTTCCCGCGTGGTGCAACGTGTACATAGTATTACATTACGCGGTCGTATTGTACGGCTTCTTTGAGCTCGCCTCGAGGTATATGGTACGTAATACTTCCGCTAATTGATATTATTATAATTGCAATTAAGTATAATATATGTTTAAGTTAGTTTTTATATATTCTGTCTGTTTATTGATACGATTTCTTATTATATATGCTTAGGGCACATTTAAATTCAAACAAAAACAATCTAAATTACAAGAAAGTAAAAATATAACTTACAATTAAAACAATTTCCTTGTGTCCAAAGGGTAATAAATTATGAAAACCCTTCTGGCTAACTTTTATCACAACGTTAAGTTTATTTCAAATAAAATATTGGAATTGAATTCTTAACTCTATCGTCCTTGTTTAGAATAATTTATTATTTTCTCACTAAAATGTCAGATAGGTATATTATTAAATATGCTAGACGAATTTGTATAAAGCTTAGTACAAAGATGATTATAATCTAGAGCAGCGGTTCCCAAATTTTTGGCCACGGAACCCCTAATTGATCATAATTTTTTTACGGATCTCCATTTTAATAATAACCAAACTGTTGTACTTAAAATACTTTCTTGTTTGACTTGAAAAAACAAATCATAAATCAAAGTATTAATACTTAATATACCAAAATATAACCTAACTACTTTATGTGATTAATGAAATTTTTTCACATATTTATTTATAATAGCACTAAAATTAGGTTTCATGTCTAACAACGTTTTATTTAATTCTCGGACCGAACTCAGAACCTGGATAAAACGTTGGGAACCTAAAATCAAAATGAATCCGCGAAAAAATCCGAAAAGATAGTTAAATATAACACTTATATATACATAGTACTAGCGACTCGCCCTCGCTCCGCTGGAGTTCGTCCCTAGTTACGTTTTAACGTTTAGTATAGATTTCTCAGAGATGAGATATTTTCTCGCAGTAAAAAGTACCCTATATGTTGACCAGCTATCATCATTCCAAATTTCATCAAAATCTGTCCACTGGTTTTCTCGGGATGCAGTAACAGATAGACAGATAGACAAAAATTCTAAAAACTATAGATTCAGCCTCTATATCGATAATAATGTCTATTTCAATAAGATTTTCCAAAAAATTTTTAATGTACAGATTCGGCTTAGTTACAATTTTATTTTACCTATAGATTTAAAATGTCAAATATTCACGTAAATCTATGAAAGTATAGTAAAGTAATATGTTTGTTCATTTTTATCATTTTCAATTAAAATGGACATTTAGTTTGTGCACGTAATAATTACAAGAGCATCGTTCAGACACAATAATTACAGGACGCGGTACGAAATTACATAAAGGAGGCAAGAAAATGAAGAATATCGCTTTGCATACCAAATATTTGTTTTTGGCCTCGTTTTCGTTCTTTTGTTTATTCACCAAAAATGTTAATTTGCTTTAATAATTTATGTGCTAGATGCTATTTTATATTTTTGAACTGTATAAAGCCTAAAAATTTTGTGTATTGTATTGTTATTAACATACTTCTATACATGACTAATGAAATATTTTTTGGAAAATCTTATTGAAATAGACATTATTATCGATACAGAGGCCGAATCTATACTTTTAAGAATTTTTGTCCGTCTGTCTGTCTGTCTGTCTGTGACCACATCACGGAAAACATATGACAGGGAATTAAATGAAATTTGCTATAATGATAGCTGGTTATCCGGGTCAACATATAGGATAATTTTTACCGTGGGAAAATATCTCATTTCTGAGAAAAAATACAAAAACTGCAATGTAAAAGTACACTAATATGTAAAACCTAAGAATTTGGTTTTTGGTTATCTGAACGCGGGCGGAGTCGCAGACAATGCTAGTAGAATATATATTTTTTTTTAATTAATTCATTTATTGACATTGACAGACAGAAAGAACCTTATCCGATTAAGATCTAGTGGAAGCATGATATTATATTGATATTGGTCTATATCTTTATATGCAAAAGTTAAAAGTTTGTATGTACGTTCGTTACTTCTTTACTCTAAAGCTACAGAACGGATTTGGATTAGTACATAGATAGACGTGATAAAATTGCACAGTGAAATAAAATGTAATAAAACTGTAAGTGATTTTTTATATATTAATTTATATATAAGTAACGTAGCCATGCACAGTTTTCGCCATAGCAAATGATCGATCACGTCTTTATTTTTACCGGAACGATACATTTTTATTCGCTTTGTAAGGGAATTGCATCTATCAACTCCTTTAATAAATGGATGGCCATAAAATGCTTCAGCTTCACTAGATCTTTGTTCATAATACGAAATTCTTTCTCATTTTAATTAAAGATCCCACTTTTCAGACCAATTCTTTCCTTGCTATAGATAGGTATATGAATATGACCAAAAATTTAAAGCAACTTAAAATAAGTTTTTCATACAACATTCATTTCCTTGAACCTTTTAATTACTATTCTCAGCACTCATTGAGAGAACAAACTTTGTTTATGAACTACAAAATTAATTATAAGTTAGGCAATTCAAAAATAAAACTGGATTTTCAAAAGCTTTAATGATAAAAATATTTTGCAGCTTATATTTAAGCTTTAGCTAGCTTTAGCTTTAAGCTTTTTACTATTATAAAGGTAGAAAGTTTATTAGTTATAAACAAGTATAATGTCTATATTAGTGTTTGCTAAAACAAACTTCTTAGCAATAGATTAAATGTTCTCGTGTATGAGTATTTCTTTCAACATGTACACAAACTTTACTTATTTATGTGAGAAAATCTCAATTTAATATAGCTTTCGTTTTTTTAAGCTTAAAATGTCCTTTGAGATGTATTTTTTTAACATTAAATTGTTTCTCAGCGTTTATGAGGACCAGTCTCTGAAAACTGTTAATATAATTATAAAATTTCTTTAAATTAATATTATTCTTTAAATTACATAGAAAGCAACAATACACGTAAATGTACGTGAATAAAAAGGATATTTTCTACTAATAACTCAAGCGCGACCATTTTTGTATATTATATTGAAAAAATTTACATCGTATAAGATTCATCCAAAGAATAAGACTAATGTATCAAAGCTGTGCAAGAAGCTGTGCTATACAAAGCTTTTGATAAAGGCAATGGCTATAATAAATGAACCCCTTACTCCTACCATAGAACTAAGAACTTTTGATTTATTAACAAAAACTTTAATTAACTTTAATTTTCCTTGTCCACAGGGTATGACACCGATTTCAGTCATCATCTTCGTATTGTACGTTATAGCCTCTTTGACTATTATTGGGATGATTTTCGACAACTCCAAGTACGCTCCTATGCTAGAAGTACTACGGTGTTCAGCCTTAGCTTTCCTCACAAGAAGCATCGCTACTAGTCCCACTATGACCGTATTACAAATATTCTACGTCATATCTGCTATGTTCTGGTGTCTTCATACATTGAAACTGCTTGAAATTAAGAAAAAAATTGAATAAACCAAAGGCGTTGAGTGATGAAGTCTTACAGTTTCGAAAGCTCAATTTTGGAAACTTTTAGACTGTGAATGTGAGCTTTGTGTAAAAGATATGATGCATACTATTTATAGGCAGCTTTGAATAAGTTTGCATTTAGCCCCCTATTTAAATGCTTTTACCACTTTCAATTGAAATTAAAACTTTGAAAAAACGCTCATTTTTTTGCTTAAATTGTCATTTTGTTATACTAATATTATATACCAATTTCTCTATTCAAAAATGTATGTAAAACGTATACGATAAATGCTACAAAACATAATTTGTGCCAGTTGTTTAAATAATAATATTTCATATAACTATGTATGTATGTATGTCCCCTAAGTATAGCTTAATTAGAGAGTTTACACCCTAACGCATTATGTAAGCCAGTAGAGTAATAGATTTAAGATTATTTAATATTGACAAGTGCCAAATGTTTTTATAATAAAAAAGTTGTTTTTAATATCTAATATACGATACTGCCAAATATGTACATAATTAGGTTTATAAATAATAAAAAATAATATTTTAATTAAGAATAGCTAGTCTAATGTATTTTTATTTGAGATCATTTAAAATTTATAAGGTAATGGAATATTTCTTTCATAACCTATTATTAAATCTTTGTAAGAGATATTTCTTTGATTTTATGATGTTTGTACGGTATGTAAATTGTTGTCTCATGGAAATAAAAAAAATTAATATTAAACTTTGTTGTTTTTCTTTAATTAACTGACTTACTTTCATCTATACATATAATAAAATTCTGAGTCGAATCTGTACATTAAATATTTTTTGGAAAATCTTATTGAAATAGGTATTATTATTGATACTTTTTTAGAATTTTTGTCTTTCTGTCTTTCTGGGAACGTATCACGAGAAAACCACTGGACGGATTTTGATGACATTTAATATGATGATAGCTAGTTATCCGGGTCAACATATAGGATACTTTTTACTGCGGGAAAATATCTCATCTCTGGGAAATTCATAATACCCATTAAAACATACGAAGCGACGAACCTGAGGGAGCAAGTGTGAGTCGTTAGTATTGTATATAATGCCCTCCTAAACGATTTTATCTACAGCCAATATCATAGAGTTTAGTCATTTTCGCAAAAGATAATATATGTAGTTGGGACGATAATTCGATACGCCCAGTGACTGAACAGGCACAGAAAAATGGCTTTACATTATCTCCTAAGCGCGGAAGTAGCACCGTCAACTTTACAACTGTGAGATGTAATGAGAATTTCTTGACACAAAACTTAATAACTATATCTAAGCCGACCCAGGACTCGAACCCAGGACCTCCAGATCTGCAGCTGTACATGTTAGCCACTAGACTAACAGCCAACCATTCTTTCTAGCGAAAAGCTATACATCAAAAGCTTTATACATAATATTATGACCTATATGAATATTTAATAATATTACCAAAGATAATAATAAAATATATGTTTTTAAAAAGAAAAACTTCTCTAGTAGAGTAAATTGATACTAGATACCATACAGATACGAAATAAACAGCCAAAGTTAGTTCTTCCATATTATAATATCGGGTTTTCCTGAGTTAAATAAAAAAATTGAAATTTTATCCTATAAATATATCTTTTATTATTATAAATGCGAAAGTTTGGATGGATGGACGTTTGATACTCAATCACGTCAGAACAGTAAAATTTATGTTTTATTTAAGAAAAAATCCTTTCAAAATCGTCCTTTGAATCTTGTTTCTTAGAAGGGCTTTAATTAAACGATTCATACTTCAATATGCACCTAGCAGATATCTGTATTCTGTAAGTAGTTTTCAAAAATTTCATAAATTTCAAGATGCTACCAAGTGTACCGTGTACCATTTGTTGAGGTATATTAATAACTCTTTCATATTTCTGTTAAACGACATAGATCGCAAAAGCGAGAGTCTATAATATAAAAATGAATCGCTGAATGTGTTGCTAAGCGCAAACCTCGAGAGCAGCTTAACCGATTTCGCTGATACTTTTTTTAGAACATTCCTTGAAGTACGAGAATGGTTCTTACGGAGAGAAAAATTTAAAAAATTGCCTGAATAAGTCTAAAAACAACACTTTTCTATACTCCCATACAAAAGATTCGTAATAATACTTAAAAGTCAATTTGAACTTTAATACCGAACCATAAAGTTTAAGTGTTAGTGGAGAGGTTCCGGGAAGGCAAAACAATTGAGTGACGTTAGTATCGTATAAATATTAATGTCAATATTTGTCAATATTATTAACAAAAAGAAATATTTATATGGCTAACGCTGGCTAGTAACTATTTATATCTATTTAAAACGTACCTAGCGATAAACCCGAGCGAGGAGCGAGGGTGAGCCGCTAGTAATAGCATAAAAAGCAAAATTACGCCAATATTTTTGTCTTTAACATTTTTTTTTTGATTCATTAGTCTGATTCAACAGTATAGTCTTGAACTTAATTACCAAAGTTTAAATATATTACGGTTCAAAAACATTTAAACCTACATTCATTATCTAAAGCATGAAATACTTTCTTTTAAAAAAAGTAAAGTAGTAAAGCGTAGTAAAGTAGTCGCAATTGTCATTAAATTTTCATTTCAGTATATTGTTCCCTTGTTGGTAGTCTATAATTTAACTGTCCAGCCATTTCAGGAGGAGCCCACACATATTTTAAACCTACATAAAACATCATTAATATCTGCATAATAACTAGCTTTTCCAGGCTTTCCTAAAATAAATAGCTACGCATGCGCATTATCAAAATAAATAGCTTTTATAACTCTTACTGAGTACTATCTACTTGCCAATGAAAGCCTCTTTAGCATTGATATAGCTGCTCTTTTTTATACTCTATTACACGAGAAAACTTGGATAAAAGAAACCTATATAATTCTCACCTAAATGTTCTAACCATCAGCAAAATTTCGTTGAAATGGGTTAAACAGTTTCGAAGACTAGAGAGTAAAATATAAACAAAGAAATAAACACCGTTCAATGATTATTTGGTAAAAGCATCGTGAAAAATTCTGTATGAACTGGGCATATAATAGCTATATTAAAATCCTAGATTGACACTAACAATTTTTATATATTATATTAAAGTTTTGTATAGATTTCTCAGAGATGGGATATTTTCGCGCAGTAAAAAGCATCCTTTATGTTGACCCGGATAACCAGCTATCATCATACCAAATTTCATCAAAATCTGTCCAGTGGTTTTTTGTGATGGGGTCACAGACAGACAGACAGATAAAAATTCTAACCACTATAGATTCGGCCTCTGTATCGATAATAATGCTTATTTCAATTAGATTTTCCAAAAAATATTTAATGTACAGATTCGACTTAGTTAGAATTTTATTATATGTATAAATACGTATCGCTTATACGTATCATATATACGTTATATATGTACATATCGTACATCGTTCATTATATGTAGCTTCTATGATAAATCGTCAGTCTATAGAAAATCCGGCAATATCTCATCCAGGGTCGATTTCAACGTTTAATAACATTTGATTTATGTTCATCGTTAGATTAATGGTAATAAAATTTCATTGAAAACGTCAATAACTAATCTTCCCAAATTTTATTACAAAATAAGCCTTTGAACTCGTAATGCGCTAAACTTTTAGATGAGAATTTTTGGACCTACCAAAAATTTTATTATGCATATATATATATATATATATATATATATATATATATATATATATATATGCATAATAAAATTGTAACTAAGTCGAACCTGTACATTAGATATTTTTGGAAAATCTTATTGAAATAAATACTATTATTAAATACTATCGATACAGAGGACGAATCTATAGTTTTTAGAATTTTTGTATGTCTGTCTGTTACCGCATCACAGAAAAACCACTGAATGGATTTTGATGAAATTGCTAAAGTGATAGTTGTTTATCCGAGTCAACAATTATACTTTTTAAAGCAGGAAAATATCTCATTTCTGAGAAAAAATACAAAAACTGTAATGTAAGAGTATACTAATATGTAAAACATAAGAATTTGGTTTTTGGTCATCTGAACGCGGGCGGAGCCGCGGGTTATGCTAGTAATCTTATGAATATATGAAATAAGTATAATAAAACAGATGAAAAAAACTAAGTAGAAATATTTTTTTATATATTTAAAGCCAAAAATCATTTCCTTCGCAAGCAGCTTATAATATTCGAGGGCTTATTCCAGTACTTTCTAATTTTCATTAGGAAACTTGTGTAGGACTTAAGGATTTTGGAATATAATTGTTATTCAGACAATTTTAGTTTGGGTTAATTGCTACTTTCCATTACTTATTTCCCTAAATATTCAATGAATGTTATTTTTCTTTTGAATTTTTGTCATGATTATCTTTAACTCATAAAAACTAGAGATTAGTCGAATACCTCTTTAAGTAAAAAATTGGGCAATATGTAATATTGGCTCGATTTCTTTAGTGTAAATTTTCTAATTTTGGGCTATTATGGGCTTAGACAAGATGTATAAGTATATATGACCAGTGTAATTCTTTAATTGCTAAAGAATAGAAATGTTCTAAATAGTATTGAAATGATAAATGCTATCGTTATAATATCCTAGAATCGAAAATTTTAAAAATAGAAAATTTGAAGTAAGAACCGATGAGTCTGTATATCTCATATTAGATATAAATATACCTAAAATATATTTAACTTTCATTGAATTCTTAGATATTAGGTTAATAACCCCATTCATCCATACTAATATTATAAATTTGAAAATCTAATATCTAAATAATCTATTAAATCACTCCAAAACGGCTGAACGTATTTGAATAAAATTTGGCACAGAGATAGATTATAAACTATGTATCTGATTGTAATCCAGAAAAAATGTACGGTTCCCGTGGGATAGCTTCATTTTTGTTTTTCACTAGGGACGCACGCCAGCAAAGTGAGTGCTAGTTAGAAATAAAGTTTTAAAATTCTTTCTGAAAGAA